TCTATGCAGAATGAATCTCCCAAGGCTGACGTCAGGGATACACTAGGGGTCATACAGAGCCATTATGAATCACTAGTGATGGCTTCCAGGAAAGTCCTGTAAGGAAGATGGCCCAAGGGCCTAGGAATAATTCTCTAATTCTCTCAGTCAGAATCACCCAATCAAAATATGAGTTATGACACTTTAGCTCTATGCAGTCAAATTCTATCTGTGGCTGCTCTCTTTAGGTCAACACTCACAGCAAGACACTCAGGTCTCAAAATACTTGAGTAAAGGTTGGATTTCTCTCTCCTTAAAACTGGGAGATACAGGAGGTCACGGGGCATTGCCTATATCTGTGGGTTGTTCATTTTATTGTTTTAAGGTTTTTATTATTGAGAGATTTTCTATTCATTTTGCATACCAACCACAGCTTGCCCTCTGCTCCCTCCTAACCCCCCAGCCTCCCCAAATCACCCCCCATTCCCACCTCCTCCAAGGCAAGGTCTCCCACTGGGGAGTCAGCAGAGCCTGGAACATTCAGGTGAGGCAGGTCCAAGCCCTTCCTCCCTGCACAAAGGCTGTGCAAAGTATCCCACATAGGCAGTAGACTCCAAAAACCAGCTCATGTACCAGGGACAGGTCCCAATTCCAGGGCTCCCTAAACATTTCAAGCTAAACAACTGTCTCACCTATCTAGAGGGCCTAGTCGGGTACCATGGTGACTCCTCAGCTATTGGTCCACAGTTTATGTATTTTTAATGGTTTTACTGGTCGTCTCTGTACATTTTCCCATCATGATCTCAATGTTCCTTGCTCATAGAATTTCTCCTCTCCCTCATCGATTGGGCTCCTGGAGCTCAGCCTGGCCCCTAGTTGTGGACCTCTACATCTGCTTCCATCAGTCACTGGATGAGGTTGTTCTTACTCTAAATATAGCATCTGGACAGTCCCTAGTAGCTCAGAAGTATTGAACACAAGATGACCATCGTTTATTCCTGGGGGAGTTCATGTGAGAAGTGATATTCTCCTCGGTTGTACAGAATGAGGATTTGGAGTTTACATGCTTGGGATTCTCTAGTGCTCTTCTGTATATGCTGGAATCTAACCACGGGGCTCTCATGCCAGTGAAAGAAGAGACTTTTCAGCAAGAATGAGAGCAAATGTCTGTCTGTATTATGAAAAGTGTACAGCAGGTGGCAGTATGAGGTCTGTCTGTAACAAAATCAATATATTGTGCTGAAATTTTAAGAAATGAAAATAAAGTGTTGCAATCAAAGAAAGTCAACACTGAGAGACTGTTTTACTCTGTCCCAGGCAAAAGCTAAAGGAGAGGATGAGTATCTTTCGAGAGTCACAGTCACTGATACTTCATGGAGGAGGAGAATGGTGAGAACCTTTACAAAATTTGAAGTCTAGACACATTTCTTCATTCAGTCAACACTCAGAATTTTCACTTCAGAGGAGGAAAAGGAGACTATCTCATTCAGACAAGACACAGGAGAACGCTGGTTTGTTTCTATCCCTTATCAAAAGTGGGGCCTTGCTGGTGAAAGTGAATCACTGAGAATGGCTTTTATAGGACATCCATTTCCTGTTCTCTCTCCGCTTCCTGACTGTGGATTATATTTGAGCAGTACCCTGCTTTCCCAGCACGGTGGACTGTACTCTCTCCTTTACCTGCAAAACAAAGTAAACCCCTCCTTAGTTTGTTTCCTATCATTCTGTCCCAACAATTAAAACAGTAATAATACAGCACCTTCGTAATGAAAACAAGAACAGCAGAAACTCCTAATCCCGTCTCCTAGGTTAGAAAGAAGGAAATATGACTCCTCTCCACTCATACTCATGGTTGTATTTGAAACTCCAAATTTTTTAGCGATTTTAGATCTTATAACAAAGTGTTTGATGGGTTTTGAATTTATTCATTTGCCAGATGAGAGGGGGGAATTTGGATTCACTCTTCAATGTGTAGAAATCAGTTTCCCACCACCATCAATTAAATACGGTTTTTTTTTTGTTATTGTTGTTGCTATTTCTCCAAAGTACATTTGGAAATCTTAGTCAAGATTTATGTGACTGTAAAGGAGTGGGCTTATTTCTTGGCCATTTATTCTGTTCTTTGGCCTCCATGTCTGTATAATGTTGACTCTAAGTTTATTTTATAGACAGTCTTTATTATGTGGAGGTATCTTGGTTTATATATGAGGAAGAATGTGATGTTTTGATTCATGAACATAGTGGTATTGACCAATTCACAGAAGTTAACATGTGCATGACGTTGAACTTTACCATAGATTCATTATCTACCCAGAGTGGAAGAATATGCTATTTGGACATTACTAGAAATATTCTGACTACTAGTATCTTCTCATCAAATTCGCACCAGTTAAACCCATTAGGTACAAACTCAGGGTCATTGATATACTTCCACATCACATTAAAGACAGGGATCAATTAAACAACCATTGCAACCATGAACTCACAGCAACTGAAGTTAACTGCAATGGACATGTGCAAGATTGGCCCTGTGAACAGTAGGCATGGAATGACGGGGCCTCACTGGACCTTACCACTTAATACTGAACAATTGGTTATTGACTGGTTGTGGGAGAAGTAGGGTCTTTGTCTTCAGTTGTGGAACCACTATTGAGCTTGCAAGACTCCAAAGGATATCACACAGACGGTCTTGGTTAAACTCAGGAATTTGACACACAAAATGAATGGGCAACAAAGAAGTTTAGTAGGGGTATTAGAAGGGGTGGAGGTAAAAGTGGTCCCTATGCACGATGTATATCATGTAACTGTACATATAAAATTTTAAAAATATAAATTTAATTAATAAAATAATAATGTTTTTTAGAAAGGAATTTGGGCTTACTTTGGAAGAGTTTGACCAATACTGAGTCCACACTTGAATATTCCACTTTTCTCTCTGTTGTCAATTTCTTTGTAGGTTGTGGTTTCTGCATTGTCTGTAATCAGTTCATTCTATTTTTTCTGTGTCACCATGTCTGCCTGATGTCCTTCTGCCAGGCTCTTGCAATGGGTTTTCTTTGCCATTAACTGAATCGTGAAATCTTTAAGAGTGTTATAAGAGATTTAAATCACTGAGTACGGCTAAAATTTACTGACTCCATCTGGGCATTGAATGACCCAAATAACAAACAGTACCAAAACTGCACTTTCATAATTAATATCTGCTTTCTAATTTCAGCATTGATGGTGGATTATTTTCAAGGCCATTATCTACTTATTTCCTGTTTTTAGCAAATGATTATCATAACACACATACAGACACATACATTGCTCTCTGGTTCAGGGCTTCAAGAGTGCCTATCTTAAGATCAAAGCTATGTGTCAGGTTAGAATATAAAAGCTGCTGACATAGGCAATCTATGGCAAGTAAAGTTGGTTGTTCCATAGTTTTTTAAACACTGGGTTAAACAAACAAACTGTGGTCACAGGAGGGTATCAACCTTAAAACTTAAGTGACTTCAAGATGTATTATTAACTCTGGCTTTGGGGTTCAGAAAAAGTTCCAGTCTCTTTGAATTTAAGAATTTTTTCACTGTAGTCTTACTCTATAAAACAAGTCTTCCACTCAAGAATTGGACACCTTGACAGGTAAGTCACAAAGAAACTGTCACCAAAAAATGTACTATGATCCTGAGGAGACAGGTTTGGAGGGAAACATGAAAAATAAAATTACATTAATTAATTTGAGATCCATTTTTTTTTTATCTGAACCTTTTCCTAAGAGAAGATCAGAAGATCTGAAGAAGTGGATAAGACAAGATGGAAGCAGGATACAGGAGAGTAGGGGAGGGAGAATATGTAAACAACACATTATACATGTGTATGAAACTGTCAAGAATAATGGCAAAAAAAGGGAATGGCTATCATGCAAAAACAAAAGACAGTAAATGCCAGTAACAAATTGGAAAAAGAGGAATATTTACATGCTTCATGTTGTCACTTAAATTCATTCAGTTGCTATGAAAACAAGCTTGGAATTTCCTTAAAATATTGAAAGTAGGACTAGAATTTGAACTAAATATAGCACTCCTGGTGCTCACCTAATGAATTCTAAGTCAACACACCACAAAGCTAGTTACACATCCATTTTTATCACCACAGTATTCACAAAAGAGAAGATATGAAACAAGCCTAAATGCCCATCGACTGATAAATGGATAAAGAAAACATGGGAACCCATGGTAGAGCTGGAGGGGTTGGAGGAGCCAGAGTGTTTGAGGACACTGGGGTAACATGGCCCCTAGAACCAATTAAGCAAGGCTCTGTGTCTCACAGAGCCTGAAACAGCAGAGACTGCATGGGTCTATGTGTGCTAAGTCCTCTATGGATATGTTGTGGGTGTTTAGCTTGGGATTTTTGTGAAACTCCCAACATTGGGAATAGAAATGTTTCTGATTCCTTTGCCAGCTGTTGGGACCCTTTTGATCCTACTGGGTTTCCTCATCCAGACTTGAAATGAGGTTTGTGCCTAGTCTGTTTTCAGTTGATATCTTTGGAAGCCTGCAGGAGGAGAGGCTTGAATCACCTCTACTAAATGACCAGGCTCTGCTGATTCCCCATGGGAGGGAGACCTTACCTTGTTTGAGGAGGGAATCGGGGGTTGGGGGGGATGTTGGATGTGCAGGAGAAGGGAAGAGACGCGGATATGTGGTTGGTATATAAAATGAATTAAAAATTCCTTAATAAAAAATGAAATAAATAAATGTATTTAAGATGATGTAAAGGCTATGTAGAGAGAAATCATAAAATAGTTCACATTAGGACTTTGCTTGTAAAAGTAATGATTTCAAAGCCATGTCAATAATATCCTGCCAATGAGTTGTTCTAACAGTGGTATATAAGTGACAATCTTTCCCATATTAAGAGAATCGCGGAATGGACATATGGTGAAAACTGAAGTTCCCAAAGCTTGCAAGAAGAGTTTCAGAAAATCATTTGAATAAAGTAACTTATTTTTTATTCTGGTGGTTTCTTTCTGCTGATGTTTATTGTAATTGAGTGAAGTTCTTTGCTCTCAAAAGAAAAGAACCTGAAATTTGTAATGTTGATGGGAACATAGTAATTTAAAGTAATAGAAAGTTACATGAAAGTAAGACAAAGCAGAATAAGTACATAGATTAGGGGAGAACCCTAGTTGATGGTACAGGATGTTCCCCATGTCATTAGGTGAGGAGAAAGGAGGCACTGGTCAGCAAAAGTCCACAGTAAGATGTAAGGGACTAACTCTGATTGGTGGGAAAGTACTCTCCATCCCAATAAAGAGACAGTTATTTCCCTTGCACTCAATTCACATTGACCCCCAGTCAGTGCTCCAACATGAGCACTGTATTTTCTTACAAATCCACCCTGAATCCCCATACTTAGTGTCTAGTCCATGACCCTGCAAAGTATGTGCTGCTGTACTTCCCATTCATAGTCCATTTCTGAGTTGATCCTGTCTACAGCTGTGACAAGCATCAAACACCAGTATTCCAAGGACCACAAGGACCAAGCCTGCCATCCCCATTCTGATCAGATTCTCCACTGTGTGATGATCCTGTGTCTCTGAGTCTGTGGTTGTGGAGAAAGAATGAAGGGAAGAAGAAAATCACCCGAGGAAGATCAGATACCAAAACCCTCAGAAAAGCTGTATGAGTGAGAATTTGTACTCACCTGTCTTTGGTTTGGACATGTTTTGTGATATAGTGATGTTCTCATCAGTTCCTAGGTACAGAAGAGAAGGTACACACTTAATGAAATACTTAAGAGAGCAGAGTGTCTTCTCTGAAGTCAACATTCATGTTACCTGCAATTTTCATTTCGTATAATTGCATATTAGGCAAATCACAAAACTTCAGAAGGATCCAGTATCAATCCTTTCCCTAGGGTGCCATGATTCCTTCTGGATTCTTCACACACATCAAGCTGTTTGAGTTCATACTTCAGAGTAAGACACTTGAGCATGAAGTTTATATCAAGAACTAAGTATTGGTGAAGAAAATCACCTCCCATTTCCAATTCAGAATTAAGGAATCCTTCCTGTGGTTTATGTTCAGTCTGGGGTATGGGAACATGCAACTAAATTCATGAAGGAGGAATTGTGTGTGAGGTCCATACTGAGTCTTTGTGTTCACTACCTGTTACTCACACAACCATGCAATGTAAGACTGACTCCTTTCACTCCTAGACATTTTACCCACTTGTCACCCAGCAGGAAGGCACATTGTATAGGATTAAATGCAAGAAATCCAAACTTCAACTGTGTTCCCTACTCTGAAGATAAAATGCATGAACTGAAAGGAAGGAGCCCTGGCCTGTTGCATACACGTGCACAATGTCAACATCACAGTGTCAGATAGGGCAGGACAATTGCAGAAGTGGTTTCTCTGTATGAGGAAGACACAGATAAGGTCAGAACTAAAAGGAACTTAACATATAGGCCACGGCTTTCCAATTTACAGTAGTGGAAACTGAAAATCCCAAAGGAGAGGAGCTTTTACATGTGTCTGTCCCTCTCAGAAGGGAATCCATCTATCCCACATTTAGATTGGTCCCTGGACCAATCCTGCAACAGAGTTCTAGTTTAGACCTCTATGGTCCGACTCCAGGGTGTGAAAGGAGGTTCTGACCCATTGTGGTTGATACTGTCCTTGAGGTATTGGTTCCGGATTCTATACAAAAGCAGGCTGATCAAGCCATGAGTAGAAAACCAGTGAGCAGCACTCATCCTAAGATATCTGTAATAACACCTGCCTCCAGGGTCCTGACCTGTTTGAGTTCCAGTCCTGACTTCTTTAAGGATTAACAGTGCTGTGAATATGTAAGTCAAATAAACCTTTTCCTCCACAACTTGATGGTGATATTTCATTTCAACACTAGAAACCCTAACTAAGATAATTCACCCCCCATTCTTTCCTTTCATTGTCAAGGGCTCTCCCCTCTGAGCAATAGATGCCAAGAGCTCCCTTCAGCCATCATGACTGGAACCATCCTCAGGCCAGCAGAGCTAGTGATAAAGGGTTCTCATGATGAAAACAGTGGAGTGAATGAGACTTACTCACCTGAGACAAATATCTCTAGAGGGTTACTGGCCACTGACCACATATGTGGTCTACTTTTGAAGTATCCATAATATCTAAAGGGTCCCCTCTTGTTGGATGTCACAGGGATCTCAGGAAACAGAGTCTGGGACTGTCCAGTGTGTGTGTGTACTGAGTCTTGAGGAACCTGGAGAAATTCTGTTCTTCCCCAGTTTCAATGAACCAATCATATTTTTTTGATGAGACACATTGGAGGGTCCCACCTGAGGTATCAATAGGGCTGGGCCATAATGACAGAGTAGGTTTACCTTCGAGGACCCTTAGTGCAAACAGGACATGGTCTGTTAAATGATACGTTGGCACCAGCAGTTGGACTGTAGGTAAAAGCATTTGGAAGATATATTTCCTGAGGGAAAATGTAGAGGACATGATGTACTTGATCTCACAAGTAACATGGCAGATATCAGGAAAGTTATTCATGCAGTGTGTCTCCTCAACTGATGGAATAAATACCTGTTTTCTATCAAGAGAGCTGGGAATGGATGTTGTTAATAACCAGGGGACCATCTATCTGTAGCTCCAGGCATCACGTGAATACCCTAGAATGATTATCCCAGACTCTGTCTCCCTAGACTTTTTCATTAGCTCTCAGTTAATAAAGCCCATTCTTAGGCAAGATGTGCTATACACTTTATAGCCTGCTGACATCTACTCTATGTCAGTCATTGACCACACTAGATTAAAGGCCCTTTAGCTATAGAACCCATTTTCATGGTCACATTTGAGTTGAGTTTTGATGCAATTAATCCTAGTTGTTCACAGGATTTTCTATTACACCAGCAATCATTTTTCCGAATTTATACTGTGTTTAAACTTGCTTACAATCAACCACATGGTGTCATACATTTTAGAAGTGTAAGCAGCAACTATTATGTTAGTGTGATCAAACTTTTCCTTGTTATTGCATGTGGGTCATATTCTCCCAAGCAGCAGAGCTATCAGGGACACACACACAGAAAATGTGAAGACTGTGACACTTAGTGTCCACAGACCTGTCACCACCAGCTCCAGGGAGTCACTGTGCTGTGTCCACCCAGCAGAGTTATAACAGAAACAGTGATATCCTCCTGCATTATACTCTGTCATGAAAGGAATGATAAGCTTGGCCTTGTGATCAGGCACTGGTGCAGTCGATCTGCCCCAGGGTGCTGGACTTCCTTCTTTATACAGAAAATACATTTGAGTGTTCATGGTTCCCTCACACCAGATTGTCACAGGATTCCCTGAGGTGATCACAGAGCCTGGCTCAGCCCAGATGCTGGGTTTCTACAAAGTCCTACAAAGAAGTAGGTGGGAGAGATGTGGGAATTTAAACAGTTTCACAGTGAATATGATACTTGGACTTGACCCTTGAATAACAGCGCATATGGAGCCCTCTGAAGACCCTTTTATCTCCTCACCCTCCCAAGCTCCCTTCTCAGAACACCCCTCAGTACTTTCTGTGTCTTGACTCCCACAGTCTGTATTCTGTATAAGTGGGCTCAGGAACCATTCTTTCCCTGTACTTATCACACATTAATGTCTCCTGGGGAAACCTGTTTCAGGTTCAGTGTCTTTCAATAGAGAGCCTGGGGCTTCCTCACCTGAGACTAGAATCTCCAGGATGTCACTGCCTTCTGACCACACTTGAGGTTTGCTTGTGTTATAGCCATAGCATCTGAAACTCCATCTTTGGCTGGAGGTCGTGAGATGCACTTGGAACCTGGCAGAAGACAGCCCAGTACGTACATTCTGTGAGCCCATTGAGCTGGAAAACTTCTGATTGTTCTTAATTAAACTGAACCCGTTGTATCTCTGATTTGAGGTACATGAGAGGGTCACAGACTGTCCTATGGTTACAACAGGGCTGTTCAGGACTGTCAGTCTGGGTTTGATGGAGACTCCTAGAAGAGATAAACATGGAAAATTAAATGGGCTCACACAGTCTGCATTGTACCCTGAAAGGCTGATGAGTGGGAATACATTCAGAGCAGACATTTTAAGAGTCATGTCTTGGGATACGATTCCTGAGTATTGTACAAATACTCACCTGTCACCACCAGCTCCAGGGTATCACTGCGCTCTGACCACCCTGCAGAGTTGTAGGAGTAACAGTGATATTTCCCTGCATGCAGTGTTGTCATAGACGGGATGGTGAATTTTGCCTTATTCTTGTCATTCTTTTGGGTTAGTCTGTCCCCAGGTTCTAGGTTTCCCTCTTTATGTAGCACATACATTTGGGTTTCTCTGGTCCCCTCACACCAGATGGTGACAGGACTCCCTAAGGTGATCAGAGTGCCTGGCTCAGCCCAGATGGTGGGTTTGTGGAGGGTCCCTGCAAAGTAGAAAAAAAAAAGAGACACATCTCTTAGGATACTTGTGCAAAGGTTACACTTGAAAATGACACTTAAGCTGATTGGTAAAGGCAGAGGGACACATAAAGACCCAATCTTTTCATGAACTCCTAAGTATCACTGTTATTATCCACACTTGTCTCCCACATTCTGTGAAATTGGACGTAGGAGCTTGAGTTCATTAGCCCACCATATATCAGATCCTTCTTTATGATCCTTAGTCAAATCAATTATTATTCAGAGAAAAGTTTTGGGTTTCCTTACCTGAGATTAGGAGCTCTAGATGGTTACTGGGCACTGACCACAGCTGGGGGCTGTTCCAGTAATAGCCATAGCATGTGAAAATCCATCTCTTTTGGGGATTCACAGGACCCACAGTGAACAGCGCCCAGAAGTCCCTGTAGTATGTATACTGTGAGTCCATGTGCCTGGAGAATTTCTCATCTTCCATAATTAGAATGAACCTGTTATATCCATGCTGTGAGAAACACTTAATGGTCACATACCCTCCTGTGGTCACCACAGGGCTATGCTGGGCTGACAAGGAAACTTTGCTTGGATAGACTCCTAGGAGAGAAGAGGAAACTTGCGAAGTTTAACCGTTAAAGAATACATTAGCCACTCTTAATGAATTTGATAAAGGGACCTCAAAGTGAATGTAGTCCCTTTTTCAAAGCAGGTCCTGAGATTAGGGATGAATCCTCTCACCTGTCACCACCAGCTCCAAGGTGTCACTGTTTTGTGACCACCCAGCAGAGTTGTAACAGTAACAGTGATATTTCCCTGCATGCATTTTTGTCACAGAAGGGATAGTGAATTTTGCCTTATTGTTGAGATCCTTTTGGGTCTGTCTGTCCCAGGGTTCTGGACTTCCCTCTTTATGTAGCACATATATTTGGGTTTCTCTGGTCCCCTCACACCAGATGGTGACAGGACTCTCTAATGTGATCAGAGTGCCTGGCTCAGCCCAGATGGTGGGTTTGTGGAGGGTCCCTGCAAAGAACAAGAAAAAAATGTTTCTTTGCTAAGACAGTTGTACCAAGAAGTACACACTTGCAAATGATAGTAATGCTGATCTGCAGCAGCAGAAGGACACATAAAAAACAAATTCTTCCCTGGACCTAACAGCTTCTACTTTTAATGTCCATCCTGGTTTTTGAACCTTAATCACAGCTATATCCCGAGTTCTGTGACATTGGGCTCAGGATCATGAGCTCACCAACCCACCACATATGAGGTCCTTCCCTGTGACCTCATATCTAGCCAATTGTCATTCAAAGCAAAATCTAAAGCTCCCTTACCTGAGACCAGGAGTTCTAGGCTGTTACTGGGTAGTGACCACAGCTGTAAGTTGTTCAGGTAATAGCCATAGCATGTGAATCTCCATCTCTGTTGTGAAGTCACAGGACCCACTGTGAACAGGGCCTGGAATACACCAGTGTATGTGTTCTGTGAGGCCATGCGCATGGAAAAATTTTGATCTTCCTTCACTAGAATGAAACTGTTATATTCTTCTTGTGAGGAGCACTGAAGAGTCACATAACCTCCTGAGGTCACCACAGGGCTGGGCAGGGATGAAAGGGTGACTTTGCTGGAGTAGACTCCTAGGAGAGAAGAGGAAACATCCTAAGTGGACTTATATTGCTAACATGGTCACCCCTGTTCCAGAATTGTCAAAGGGACCCCACAGGGAATATATTCATTTCCTCAAGACAAATCCTAGTGTTGGGGAAGGGTCTTTTCACCTGTCACCATGAGCTCCAGGGTATCACTGTGTTCTGATGTACCAGCCGGGCTTTTATAATAACACTGATATTGGCCTGCATCATGACTTCTAATGGATGAGATAAAGATTTTGTTCTTTTTTTCAGTGTCTTCATGAGCTGTTGGTATCTGGGAATCTGGGTTTCCTCCTTTATAGAAATGATATTCCTGGGCATCTAAGGGGCCTTCACAAATTAGAGTTACCTGCTCCCCAGTGGTTACCACATTACTTGGTACAGCTCTGAGTGTGGGTTTAGAGAGGCCCCCTGAAAACAAAACAAAAGCAAACAACAACAACAAAAAAAAATGGAAGTTTGGTCAGAAGACATTCTGTTTAATTCCATGCTCTCAGTTGCAGGACCTTGCAGACAACACCAGCAACAGCCCACAACATCTCTTCTCCATCTCTTTTCTTCACAGGTGACCTTTGATCCACACTGAGAATGTACACTTTATAAAAGCTGGGAAGACACTTACCTGCCAGCACTGGGTTCCTGGGGCCCACAATCAGTCCTGCAAGAGAGTTACCTGTGAGTGTATGTACTTGAAGCCTGAGCAGGACTTCCACTTCCAGATCCCTTCTGAGCTACTGAGACACCCTTGATGATTTACTGCTCAACTATGAGGTAGACTACTTCTCAGAACAGAATTCTCTCTCCACAACTTCATTTCTCACCAAGACAAAGCAGAACTGTGAGGTTGGGGTTCATATCATCTTCCAGTTGCCAAAAGTTGGCAGATGGCTCGTCCTCTTGACAAAAGAACAGACACAAAGTATATTGCCTGTGCAGTATGGTGCTTCCTTGTCATGAGTATGTTATACAGGCAGTCCTTGCAAAAACAGGAACTGCTTTTTCTAGGCAAGTGGCTTTTGTTTTCCCACTGCTGTGAAGGGTGTAGCTCCAAAACATGTGGTCTCTCTGTTCCTGTGGGTTTCGTTACTTTCGGTTTTAGTTTCTGACACATAGCTTCCTGAAACTCAGGCAGTTCTCAGTCTTCTCCCCTTGCTCAGTCAGCTTCCTGTGAGATTGGTTTACAAACCCATATCTGATTTTGGTATCTTCTTGCAGAGTGTCTCCCATATACCATCTACATTTGCTTGGATGGTCCTCTTCACCAAAGACCAGGACTTAACAAGAAATAATCCTGGTATCTTCCTGAATCAACACCTTCAGCTGAGGGGGCTCAGAGCTGATCTTTTCCTGTCAGAGTTTCTGCTTGGTTCTCTAACATTCAATCATATCAATTCAGCCAGACCACACTCATAATGCTGTAGGTTCCTTTTCATGGCCAGCTTCCTACCCAGCCCTAGATATACTTTGGGTAGTTTGTGGGAAATTTTCTTGGGGATACATAAATACTGAATGACTACTTCCCCAAGGAGGTAGATCAATGACAGAGACAAAGACATGATTCTATCCGAGTCAAGTGGGTGAAACAATGAGTTTTATAAGTGTTCCTTAGAGGGATATGAGCAAACATTTTCAAATTTAGTTGTTTTTTTTTGAGTCAGGGTCTCACAGTTTACCTCTGGATGTTCTTGAACTCACTCTGTAGAAAAGATGGACCTTGCACTCAAGAAACCTGAAGTAAGAATTCCCACAAGCTATACCTGGTTTGACACTGGAGTGTTAGCATCTAGCCTTGATCTGCCTTTTGTGATTGTTAACTCTGTCTCCATACCTTGTGTTTGAAGTTTAGTCTGAGAGTTTTCCTGGGGGATCTAAGCCTATACACACTTAGTAACAAAACAACAACAACAACAAAACCTATGGTAAAACTGAGAATTTGCATTTGGCATTATCCCTCTTGGGGGCTTAGAACAAAGACTTTGGTATATGAAATTGGCTTGCTAAAGGTATGATCTGGAAAACAATAAATGATCCTTTACTTACCAATGATTGTATAGTCCATAGAAGTGAATCCATCCTACAGCTAGAAAAGGATAAAAATTCATCCTTGATGTGCCTCTGTACAACTTTTCACATATCTGCCTGAACTCAATATACAAGATATTAATGCACAATGTGGAGCTTAAAGAAGGACAAAGGATTCCAGACATCTCTGAGGACTGAAGGAAATCACTGTCAAGGTAAGAGGACTCCAGGATTAGCAGAGGTTCTTGGGAAACTTCCTTCTCAGTAGCAACAGTATTGCACTTTTTAAAATGTCAGTTAATAGGAAATGGAGTGAACCTGAAGGAAAAACAGCTTACATAACTTTTGGTATTAATGAAACAGCATGGCCATTAATTTCACGAAACTCCTCATGTTCAATTATAACTGAAGATATGGAAGCAAGTGTTGAGAACTTTGAGGAGACCTTGTCAGAAAGAAGAGTCAGTAATAGTAGAGCTTAATTCAGGGATGGTGATGCCTCCAGAAGTTGCTTTATTGTTCAAGATTGTTTGAGTTATCCTGTCTGTTTGGTTTTTTTTGTTTTTGTTTTTCCATATGAAGTTGAGTATTATTCTTTTGAGGTATGCTTCCTAAATATAACACCAGTAGCACAAACACTGAGAGCAACAATTAATAAATGGAAGCTCCTGAAACTGAGAAGATTCTGTAAGGGAAAGGACATGATATATATGATAAAATGACAGCCTATAGAATGGAAAAAGATTTAAACCCACCCCACATCTGACTTGGGGCTGACATCCAAAAAACTAACAAAACTAGACATCAAAATATCAAGCAATCCAACTAAAAAATGGGCTACAGATCTAGACAGAGAATTCTCATCAAAAGAATCCCAAATGACTGAAAGACTTTTAAGGAATTGTTCAACATCCTCAGTCATCAAGGAAATGAAAATAGAAGGACTCTGAAATACTATCTTACACGTGTCAGTATGGCTAAGATCAAAAACACTGAATACAGCTAATGTTGGAAAGGATGTAGAGCAAGGGGAACACTCCTATGCTACTAATGGGAGGGTAAATTTGTACAGCCTCTTTGGAAATCAGGATGGTGAGTTCTCAGAATATTGGGAATCAATCTACTTCAAGACCTAGTGATAACACTCTTGGGCATATACCAAAGGCATGCTCAATCATACCAGAAGAACATTTGCTCAACTATTTTCATAGCAGCATTATTCATAATAGCCAGAACCTGAGAACAACCTAGATGCTCCTCAACCAAACAATGGATAAAGAAAAGAAAATGTGGTACATATACACAATGGCGTATTACTCATTTATAAAAAGAATGACATCATGAAATTTGAAGGAAAATGGTTGGAATTAGAAAATGTCAACCTGAATGGGGTAACCCAGATTCACAAAGACAAACATTATTTGCACTCACTAATAAGTAGATATTATAAGTTAAACAAAGATAACCAGACAACTACCCACAGTTCCAAAAAAGCTAGCTAACAAGGAGGACTCTAGGACGGATGCATGGATCATGCTGGGAATGGGAAACAGATGAAATCTCCTGAGTAAACTGGGGGTAAAGGAGGCAATAGAGGTAGGGTGTAGGGGATAAAAATATGAGGGAATGTAATGTTTGAGCTGGGGGAGGGATGGAATGGGAGAGGAATGAAAGAGATATCTTGGAAGAGGTAGACATTATAGGGTTAGAGAGAAACCTGGTGCTAGGTAAATTCCCAGGATTCCACAAGAATGACCCCAGTTTAGACTACTGGCAATAGTGTAGAGAGTGCCTGAACTGGCCTACCCAGGTTATCAGATTGGTGAATACCCTAACTGTCATCATAGAGACTTCATCCAGTCACTGATGGAAGCAGATGCAGTGGTCCACAGCCAAAAACCAGGCCAGGCTCTGGGAGTCCAGTTGAAGAGAGGGAAGAGTGATTTTATGCACAAGGGGATGGGGTCAAGATCATGATGGGGAAATCAACAGAGAGAACTGAAACAAGCTTGTGGAACTCATGAACTTTAGTTCTACACCTGTGGAACCTGCATGGGATTGTACTAGACCCTCTGCATAGGGGAGACAGTGTGTAGCTTGGTCTCCTTGAGGGGCCCCTGGCAGTGGGATTAGGATCTATCACTGGTACTATGAGCTGGCTTCTTGGGGCCTATTACCTATGGTGGGATGTCTGGATCAGTGCTAATGCAGGGGCGAGGAGCTTGGTCCTGGCTCAACTGAATGTACCTGGGTTTGCCTACTCCTCACTGGAGGCCTTACCCTTTTGGAGGAGGGGAATGAGTGGGTTATGGGGAAGGGGTAGGGGGAGAGTGAGAAGGAATGAGAGGGGGATCTGTGGTTGATATGTAAAATGAATAAAAAAAAATTTTAATAAAAAAATCAATTTAGGCAAATTATTTATAATAAAATAAATTTTTGTAGAGAATATCTTACAAAATGGAGAGAAATACCATTAAAATTTGGTCTTTATGTAATTTAATTTCAAATGTTCTGGTGCCATTGCAGAGTGAGGAGTCACTTAAAGCTATATCTAAAGTGGAACAAGAAAGTAAAAATGAAGACATTCAGGCTGGAAATTGTCAGTCAGATGAAGAGAACGTTCCTTCACAGGATGATAGGAAGGCTGTTTCAGAGGACAGTGAAAGTGAGGAAAACAGGACAGTGGACATGACTCTCCTCCTCCTCCATCAGATGAAACAGAACCAGAAATCAGAAAAGCTTAAAGAATAACTGCATGTTTAAAAATACAAGGGCATCTGAGACAAAGAATAAAAAAGGAAAAAAGAAACTTCCCTGTAGAGAAAAGATAAAGAAAGCAGACAAAAAAGAAATATTCCCAATATTAAGAAGGAAAGTAGGAAGAATTAAAAGAAAATTTTTCCCTATAGGAAGTGGGGAAATAATAGGAATTTTCCTGATAGAAAAAAAAAGGGAAATACTTAATTATGGATGTATGGTACCAACTTATGATAGATTTGAGGAATGGTTGCCTATGTTTATAAGAACACCCCCACAGGTGTTCCCAGTAATTATTCAGCAAATGCCTGCAAATTTATCCTCAAGGATTATTGGATTCTGGTCCTGATGTTTCTATAATTTTACAAGAATCCTAGGATACAATCTGGCTTTTACAAGAAGTCTCTACTCAATTTGTAGTCATTGAAACCTTATCTGAAGTAAAACAGAGTGTAGAGTGGGTTAAATGCATAGGACCAGAAGGACAGGAAGGGATATTAAAGTCTTATATGACTGATATAGCTATGCAGTTTTAATTTAAAAAAAAGTATAAGTGGGACAATCAGAGAGAATTCTGGGAAGTGGAAGGCTATGTCAGCCCACCATCCAGTGAGCAGCATGTCATGGCACACAGATAAAGGTAATGTGGCAACATATACATTAACAGAAATGGCCTGAATTTAAGTGTAAGATCTAGTCAGTGGTAGGCCTGAGCTAATGGCTGAGCAGTTTTAATTAAAATAAGCCTCTCTGTGTTTACTTGGGTCTGAGCATCTGTGGACCAGGTGGGACACAGGAAAACTTTCAGCTACAAATGGCACCCAATGGCTCAAGTTTCCACCTGAAACCTGAGAACATTTAATAAGCAATTCTAAATGGAGCCAAAACCAGGTTCCTGCTTAATGTCTCATGTGGGTGGAGAGACACCACAACATGTGGGCTTAAGCTACTCTGTGGTGGGTTCATGGCATGTGGGCTAGAACTATGCCACATTATACAGAGGGGTCTCCAAGCTGTGCAGTATGCTGCATGGTGAATATAGCTTTTGCTAATACAGACAAAAAAATGGTTTCTGGGATACACAATGCTGGATGGAGGCATGGACCCACTTGCTCCCAGAGTCAGTGGAGAGCATGGCTCCCTGAGCTGGAAGTGAATTACATCCACCATGTTGGGAAGCTGAAATGGGCAGAGTCAGTAGCCAAGGCTTCTCCTTCAGTACCAATCACTGCAGTTTAGAGCAATAGATTCACAAGACAGATTCATATGGAACAAGACTTTAAATGGTTTACAATGTGTATAAAAATGTACATAGGCCTGGAAGAGAGAAGAAAATTAATATAGACAGTTACATTAATAAGTAGTTTTTAAAAATAAAGTCTTTAAAGAGATAGTAAAGGTAGTACAAAAAAATAAGCCACATAAACTTGGATATTACACAGAGAATCTGGATTGCAATGTCTTTGATATTTTTAACTGCAGAAAGACATTTGATTGTAAAGGCTGCTAAATTAAGCCTATATATATATATATAATTAATTTAATATATATATTAAAGGTATCTTGACTTCAAAATTTGTATCTAAGAATATGTTGCTTTGGAAAGGAGTCTCTGCCTTTGTTTCTACAGAAAGCAAGAGGCTATGGATTTATTGCAGGTTGTGATGAATCAGGTTTGACCAGCCAAGACCCCTGAAAGGTCTCCAATGACACCATAGCCCATATCATCCAACATCCAAAATCAACTTCAAGGCAACTGGCTCAGAGAATACCGCCTCACAGACTATTTCAGTCAGGACTTGACCATAATTCTTAATTATTCTCAAGATCCCCATAAGATTACCTGCACCCTCTATCAGCAGGAAGTAGCCTAGAAAACTATGCCCAGATTCCCAAAAAATGGATTATGGATGTTTGTCTTTGTTTAGATTGTTGGTTACAAATTGTTATTGGTCACAGTCAATATCTTTTTAAAAGAAGAAAGGGGGATATGATATGGAAATATAGGATATAGACAGGATAAAAGGATGGATTGTTGAACCGACTTTTAAAGAGCAACTTGTTTAAAATGTTTTACATTGTTATAGATTTTAGTTTATTGATACAAATTTAAAGTTAATTTTGTTATACTATATTATATTGTTTAAGTTATTATATTTGTACAGCTCATTTAAATTGTAATGGAAACTAAGAAATACACATTATTAGTCTTCTATGATATTCCAATGGTCATGTTAAATTTTCTAGGTATTTATAGATATAATTCAATTAGGTAGGTAATCTTCAAACTCTTCAAAGACCTGCAGAATATGGCATTTAAAATGTTTTAAAAGCTTAGACTTTCTGGACAGTGAGACAAATCTGTTCCTGGCAGCACTGATTTACTTCAAAGAGAAAGATGGGCATCGAAGACACTCCATATGGAGTTTGTCTTCTTCTTGGCAAAAATAGCCATTTGGGCAAGAAACTGTTCTTTCCTGAACTGCTTGACAAAATGTCCCCATGCAGGCCCCATAGGAAGGTGTCCACTGAAATTTGTGAGACAAGATGTTCCTTCAGGTTCCCGCTTCACAGAAAAAAATGCCAAAATTCTACAAGACACAGAGAAAAAATGACTGAAAGACTATGCCTGTGGGCTGATATGAATACCCCAACATTGCAGAAGAACTTTGGATGACTGTCCAGGCAGACAGCTGTCTCAGTCAGTCTAGATTTTTGGAAGTTGCTTACAATGCTCTTTCTGTTTACTTAGATAATATTGTATCCTTCTGAGGTCTTTGATGTAGTTGAAGACTAGATAGTTATAATTATGGTTTTCTTTGGTTATGATAAAAGATAAATTAGATATGAAACTTTAGACTCACAAATATAGAATAGACAAAATATTATCTTTAATTTTGCCAAATACAAATAGACTAGATATTGTAACAGTAATTCTTGCTAGATAACTATTTTATTATTTATAATTTTACTATATTAAAGTTAAAACCTTTCTTTTTGATTAGATAGAAATGGGGAAATGCTGTGGGATAATGATCTTGAACACTGGCTTAATAAAACACTGATTGGCCAGGCAGGAAGTATAGGTAGGGCAAGCAGACTAGGAAAATTCTGAGAAGAGGAAAGGAGTCAGGAGTCCCCAGCCAGACACAGAGGAAACAAGATGACAAGGCAGAACTGAGAAAAGTTACCGAGCCACATGGCTAAATATAGATAAGAATTATGGGTTAATTTAAGTGTAAGAGCTAGTCAGTAATAAGCCTGAGCTAATGGCCAAGCAATTATAAATAACATAAATCTCTGTGTGTTTGGGTCTGAGCAGCTGCAGAACCAGGCAAGACACAGGAAAACTTTCAAATACAATCTCATATGTATGTATCAGTTTCAAAGTCACATTGAACCCATCCCTAGGAGAAGAGCTGTCAGTAGCCCATGCAGATATTATCTCCATCACTAGTTCTACTGATTAATCATGAAAATTCCAAACTCAAGCTTTGCTTTCCCCTTCAATTCATATCATTTCACTTTATGTTTCTATAACTTGACAGTTGACACGGTATCATTAAAAAAGAATATGATTAAATTAGCTGATAATTTTTGGAAGATGTTAAGGCCAGTATCAGGCAACTCCACCTGCTCATCATTTGATGAGGATGCTACTTGCTATGTGAAAGAATGACAGAGGACCAAAAAAGGAGACAACCTGGTACAGAAAGGAAAGATGGCATTGTGATCATTGAATTGTATGCTAATATAATCCAGTAAGAATTCATCAGGGTCCCTGGGAGATATAGAGTAACTTAGGAGACTGATAACCACATGTATATGAATTTATTGATTTAGGTGTTGCCTTACAGATCTCTTCAGGACAGATAGTCTTATAATACACAATGTGGTATGTGGTGATGTATAATAAAGGAAAATATCACATGAGACTGAGGAAAAGCAAAATATATACAGAGGTGAGAATGTAAACCTCATTGGTGACACTAGATGTTACCTTACATCATGGACTTAAAATAGAGGAATGGAAAAATCTTCAAAAGTGCACAACAAAGTACAGGGTAAGAGTCTTAATGTGGTGGTAGAAGAGCTGATCACCCCAATATTTAGGTCTTTTCCTGCAACCAAAACACATTATCTTGCTGGATAGTTTATCACAAGTAATTCACAAAATTAAGCACTGAATTTTCTCTTAAAAAGCACCTGAGATCCTCAAATTTATTTCCACGACTTGATCACCAGACTAGGCGTACTATGGTCTCTCCTCTATACTTCTAGGATGAATTCTGGGTCCTTCTCTGGCTGCGGCAAGCCTCAAACAGCAAAATCCCAAGAGCTGTGAGGATCAAGGCAGACATGCCCATCCGGATGAGGTTCTCCACTGTGTGATCCTGGGGCTGTGAGACTGCAGATTGTGAACAAACAAGTCAGGACAAACCAAAGCCACCATAAAATAACTGAATTTCCACTCTGAACAGCTCCCTCCTCATTATTCAACTTGATCTTCTCTATCCATACCCAAACCAGAATTTTTCTTACTCACCTATCATGGCTTCTATTGAGAGCCACTGGTAGCAAAAGTCCATGAGAGTATACAGCAGTGACAACTAGAATTCAACCTATCAGAACTAAGGGCTCTGTTAGAGGAAACCATCATGCAAGGCATTATGGAATTACTGCCTTTTGAATGAACTGGCTGTCTCTTCTTGTAAACTTCTTGTGCAATAACAGCTATGTATGATTCTCCCCATTTACCATGCATCTCCATGTTAGTGTACATGTAATCTCATGATTGCCTCTCAATCTTTGGCACAACTTTCCCTATACATTTGGGGTAATTGGACAACTGCCCCAGCTGTGTTTATTTTTCATTAACATTTATCTGGCAAGGGCAGATAATATTTTGTCTCTGGACAAAAGTATTCCTTTTTCCAAGGACAAAACTGCACATAGATAAACATTAGCTCATCTCACTCAAAGATAGAGAAAAGAACCACTAACAGTTAAATCCTCAACCCCTTACCTTCACCCTGGGTTATTTAAACAAGACCCTAACTTAAGAGATTTACTGCTCACATTCCTGGGATGATGTTTTAGCCATTTGCTAGATACTGAGTTAAGGTAGTTGCTTCCCGCTGACCCCAGGAGATTGCCTCCAGGCCAGACAGGTGATAGGTGTCAAGCTTCCTTCTTGTGCAAATTAAGTTTTTATTCCTCCTCAGCCAGGTGCTATTCCTAGATTTTCTCCTCAGCAATTACTCTGAGTGAAAGTGCTTTTACTAACCAAATACTACATGCTCTGACATAGGTTGTTTAGCCATCCAGCATATGTCCCCCTCCCTATCAGAAAGGAGCTACAGCTGGGATGAGCAGGAAAAGTGGCGCCAAAGACAGTTTACTTTCTTGTGACTTACTGACCCCTAACAGTCTACCTAGCCATTTCTAGATTATAGTTGGAGCACATAAATTCCCTAATTGATCTTAGCCTTTAGTTAACCCTACCAGAGAACTCCCCTTTAGTCACTCCCCTTTGGGGTTGTAATTAGAAGCTGACAATTAATTGTTTTATGTGTGGGTCCTTATCACCTCTCTCTGAGACCCTGAAAACTTCAAGCCTCACAATGCTTTACCAAAGAATTACTGTGTGGGTATATATACTGGTTCTCTGAGAGCACGTGGAGGATTGATGGAGAAGAACAAAGATGAGGATGGAGATGGAAAGAACCAGGTAGAATGATGAGAGAACAGCAGGAGGGACTGAGAGCAGGAGGGACCGAGAGCAGGAGGGAAAGAGAGCTAAGTAAGAGAGTAGGAAAGAAACTGTGCAGATAAAATTGCCATAGAAGAATAAAGTGAATGAACTAAAGAACTCATTGTGCTTAGATTCATTGAATATTCCTCAGATTAGAATCCTCAGCTGGTTGGTAGACTCTTCTGCAGACCCTGGGAGGAAACAATATAGGCTGGATCTATTATTGTTTGCGTTAGGCTTCTGTCAAGTTTTGTGGCTGGGTGGTAGTCTCAGTCATTCCTAAGAAACAAAGACATGTTGGATATGTGAAGTACTCAAAAGTACTGATTCTTTTGTGAAGTTTTATCTTCCTTTATCCTGGAAATTAACATTATTCTCATCATATAACTTCAGGAAGATCTGGAATGAATGATTTCTGTGCTGTGGCAGGATTCCTTGTGGTCTTTGGCTTTGTATCTTCAGTCTGACTGTGCTCTGATTTCAGGACTTCTGGCCATGGCTCTTATTTGTAACACTCCAGAGAGATCAGATGGAAAAATATGGTCTCTCAGTTCAGAATGAAGTAGCCTTCCTGTGCTCCCAGATCAATCTGAAGTATAGAGTCCTGGAAGCTAATTCCCCTGGATTTTTGTTTGCACTGATTCACCAGCTAAGAACCCAAGATCCAGCCACAAAGCTGTGTTCTCAGTGGTCCATGAATATCTGGTGCAAAAAATAATGATGTCAACATGCAGAAGAATGCAAATAGATCCATATCTGTCACCATGCACAAAACTCAAGTCCAAGTGAATCAAAGACCTCAACATAAATCCAGTTACACTGAACTTGATAGAAGAGAAAGCAGTAAGTAGTCTTGAATGCATCGGTACTGGAGATCACTTCCTAAATATAACAACAGTAGCACAGACACTGAGAGAAACAATTAATAAATGGGACCTCCTGAAACTGAGAAGCTTTTGTAGAGCAAAGGACATGGTCAATCAGACCAAACAACAGCCTACAGAATGGGAAAAGATCTTCACCAACCCCACATCTGACAGAGGGCTGATATCCAAAATATATAAAGAACTAAAAAAGCTAGACATCAAAATACTGAACAATCCAATTAAAAAATGGGCTACAGAACTTAACAGAAAATTTTCAACTGAAGAATCTCAAATGGCTAAAAGGCATTTAAGGAATTGCTCAACATCCTTAGTCATCAGGGAAATGCAAATCAAAACAACTCTGAGATACCATCTTACACCTGTCAGAATGGCTAAGATCAAACACTCCTCCACTGTTGGTGAGAACGCAAACTTGTACAGCCACTCTGGAAATCAGTATGGTAGTTTCTCAGAAAATTGGGAGTAAGTCTTTCTCAAGACCCAGTTATACCACTCTTGGGCATATACCCAAATAATGCTCAATGTTACCACAAGGACACATGCTCAACTGTGTTCATATCAGCATTATTCATAATAAAAAGAACCTGGAAACAACCTGGATGCCCCTCAACTGAAGAATGGATAAAGAAAATATGGCACATATACACAATGGAGTACTACTCAGCGGTAAAAAACAATGACATCATGAAATTTGCAGGCAAATGGATGGAACCAGAAAATATCATCTTGAGTGAGGTAACCAGACTCAGAAGGATAAACATAGTAATCACTCATTCATACGTGGATACTAAATGTGAGGGAAGGGATGGCCAGACTGCAACCCACAACTCCAGAGAGGCTAGCTAATAGGGAAAGACCTTAGGAGGGACACATGGATAACCCTGTGAAGGAGAAGTGGATGAGATCTACATGAGTGGACTGGGTGTGTGTGGGTGGCAGAGGGTGAGGAGTGGGGGATGAGAACATAGGGAAATGGGAGGGTCAAGCTGGAACAGGGACAGAGTGGAAGGGCAGGGAGGAAGATACCATGATAGATGAGGACACCATGGGAATAGGAAGAGTCAGGGTGCTGGGGAGGCTCTCAGGAATCCACAAGGATGACCCCACCTTGGTCAGCTGGCAGTGGTCCAGAGGGTGCCTGGACCGGTTTATGGTGACCAGCCTAGCAAATAACCTAGCTGTCATCATAGAGCCTTTGTTCAGTGACTGATGGAGGCAGATACAGAGATCCATGGCCAGGCACCAGGATGAGCTCCGGGAATCCAATTGATGAGAGAGAAGAGAGATACTGCAGGAAAGGGATGTGGAGATCATGATGAGAGGATGTGTGACTGGCCACACTAGTGAAAGCCCAGGAACTGTGGACTAGTTGCTGTGGAGCCCCAATGGGACTGGACTAGGTCCTCTGGATACAGAAGATGGTTGTTTGGCTTGAACTGTTTGGGGGGGCACCAGGCAGGGGGATCAGGACCTGTCCCTGGTCTATGGGCAGGCTTCTGGCATCCAGTGCCTATGGTGTGACACCTTGCACAGCCTTGTTGCAGTGGGAAGGGGCTTGGACCTGCCTAGGCTCAGTGTGCTGAGCTCTGCTGACTCCCCATAGGAGACCTTGATATGGGGGATGTGGGGATGAAGTGTGGTTTGGGAAAGAGGGTGGGGGGAGGAGGGGGAGGGGGATCTGTGGATAGTATGTGGAGTGAGTAGAAAATTTCTTAATAAAGAAAAATAAAAAAAATAATGATAGTCTGGGGTTCTCTCTCTGAATTCACCCCACCTAGTTCCCATAATGCTTCTGTTTAAATCTTTCTCTAATTATTAAACTGTTAGTAACACAGCAATACAATCACAAAAACATAAAAATATGCTCACAATGTACATGGAAGCAGATTATGTTCTAATAAAGAGTTAACCTAAGACTGGCCCCACCTGTACTGATTGGAAGAAGAGATAAGTGTCTGAACACCTGCCTGGACAGTCACACTTGATAGGCTCTAGGCCCCCAGGAGAAAATCCCATGCCCCTTCCCCACCCATCGAAGCACAATCTAGTAATCAGCAGCACCCAGTGGTTCTACAACAGCAAGAGTTGAGCAACCCAATGCAGATGAAGCAAAACAAAATGACCTTAAAAATAACATTATGAATATGATACAGGCCCTTAAAGAGGAAATAAAAACTTCCCTAAAGAAATGGAGGAAAAGACAAACAAAAACCTGGCAAACAATGAATAAATCCATTAATGAAAGCCAATAAAAAATAATCATACATGTGAAGAAAACAGTTCAAGACTTGAAAATTGAGATAGAAGCAATAAAGAAAACACAAACCAAGGGAATTCGGGAAGTGAAAATCTGGGTAAATGAACAGAAACTACAGATGCAAGCAAAACCAACAGAATAAAAGAGATGGAAAGAAGAATCTCATGTTGAAGACACAATAGAAGAAATAGATTTATCAGGCAAGCAAAATGTTAAAGCCCATAAATTCTTAACAAAAGTCATCCAGAAAATCTGGGACAACATGAGAAGACCAAATCTAAGAATAATAGGGATGGAAGGAGAAGAATTCCAGCTTAAAGGCACAGAAATTATATTCAACAAAATCATAGAAGAAATATTTCCCAACCTAAAGAAGGAAATGCCTATGAAGGTACAAGTGACTTACAGAACACCAAATAGACTATACTAAAAAAAGTCCCCTCACCATATAATAATTAAAACACTAAACATAAAGAATAAAGAAAGAATATGAAAAGCTGCAAAGGAAA